AATATTTAAAAAAAAAAAAATTTTCTTGGGCGCCTGGGTGGCTCAGTTGGTTAAGCGACTGCCTTCGGTTCAGGTCATGATCCTGGAGTCCCAGGATCGAGTCCCGCATCGGGCTCCTTGCTCAGCAGGGAGTCTGCTTCTCCCAGTGACCCTCTCCCCTCTCATGCTCTCTCTCTCTATCTCATTCTCTCTCAAATAAATAAATAAAATCTTTAAAAAAAAATTTTTTTTCTTAGTCTCTACGCCCAATGTGGGGCTTGAGCTCAGGTCCCCAAGATCAAGACTCGCACGCTCTACTGATTGAGCCAGCCAGGTGCCCCTGTTTTGTTTTTTAGATTCCACACATAAGTGAAAAATACGGTATCTGTCTTTCTCTTATTTCACTTAGTGCAATACCCTGTAAGTCCACCATGTTGTTGCAAGTGGCAAGATGTCCTTTTTTATGACAGAGTAGTATTTCGTTGTGGGTATGTAGGTGTATATGTGTATACACCACCCCCCTTTCTTCTTTATCCATTCATCTACTGATGGACACTTGGGTTGCTCCCATATCTTGCCTATTGTAAACAGCAATGCAGTAAACATTGGGGTGCATCTTTTTGAATTAGTGTTTCCATTTTCTTTGGGTAAATACCCAAAGTGGAATTACTAGATCACATTTACATGTTTAATTTTTTTCAGAGACCTCCATACTGTTTTCCACAGTGACTACAGCAATTTACATTCCAAGTGCATGGAGGGTTCCTTTTTCTCCATCCTCCCCAACACTTGTTATTTCTTGTCTTTTTGATATTAGCCATTCTGACACGTAGGATCTCATTGTGGTTTTGGTCTGCATTTACCTGATGAGAATAACGTGGAACATGTCTTCATGTGTCTGTTCGCCAGCCGTATGCCTTCTTTGAAAAAATGTCTATGCAGGTCCTCTGCCCATTTTTTAACCAGACAGGGTTTTTTTGAGTTAAGTTTTCTATATAGTTTGGATATTAACCCTTTATTGGATATATCACTTGCAAATATCTTCTTCCATTCAGAAGGTTGCCTTTTCGTTTTGTTGATAGAAGTTTCCTTTGCTGTGGAAAAGCTTTTTATTTTGGTATAGTCCCAATAGTTTATTTTTTTGTTTCCCTTGCCTGAAAAGACATATCCTGAAAAATGTTGCTAAGGCCAGTGCCCAAGAGATTACTGCCTGTGTTTTCTTACAGGTGTTTTATGGTTTGGGGTCTCACATTATTAATACATTTTGAGTTTATTTTTCTGTATGGTGTAAGAGAATGGTCTGGTTTCATTCCTTTGCAAGTAGCTGTCCAGTTTTCCCAGCACCATTTACCAAAGAGACTCATACCTGATTTTTTTTTCTTTTCAAGTCAACTCTATCCCCAGTGTGGGGCTCAAACTCACGACCCTGAGATCAAGAACTGCATGCTCTAGTGACTGAGCCAGCCAGGTGCCCCCTGATTATTCATGACTGAATGCAGAGTTTTTTGACTTTAATGCTTCAGAGTACTGGATTTTGTTGTAATCCTTTAAAGAGTGTTTGGTTTTAGTCTGGTGCATAGCTGAGTAGCCTGCAGATCAGTTTGATCCTTCTAAGGCTTGCTTTACACTATGTTATCTCCAGAGCAGCCTTTATTCTGGGACTATATTAGTCCCACTGTCAAAGTATGACTCTTCTGGACTCTACCCAATATCTTTCCACTCTGGTTGGTAGCAATACAAATGGTAAGTTGTGGAAATTATTAAGTCAATTGATTTCTGAGGTTCCTTTTTGGGCCTCACAGAGTTTTACCTCGTATATGTGCAGATCACTATATAGCCAAAAACTGAGGTGACCTCTCTGCAGACCTCTGGTGTTCTCTCTGTGAAGCTCTGTCTTCAGCACACTGCCTTACTCTTCTCAGACTCTGATCTCTGTCTCAGCTCAGTGAGATTGCCAGACGGTTTAGTTGCTCTTCCCTCTACTGCAGCCTGGACACTGCCTGCAGGCAGTAAACTGGTGAAATTGTAGGATTTGCCTTGGTTCTTCCCTGCTCTTAGAGATCACAGGCTCATACTGCCTGCTGTCCAATGTCTAAAACCGTGGTTTCATATATTTAGTCTGGTTTTCTTGTTTATGGCAGGAGGGCAATTCCTGTGGAAGTTAATCTTTCATGGGCAGAAGTAGAAGATCTAACAGCTACATAACACACAGTACGTAGTGGATGTCAGGCCCTGTGATAACCACTTTAAATACAATCTCATTTAATCCTCACAACAATACTGTGAGAGAAGTACTCGTATTACCTTTGTTTTATAGGTAAGGAAATTGAGACTCTGAGGGATTAAGAAATTAGCCCAAGATACCACAGTTGGTGTAATAAGATGTGAAAGTAGGTTTCAAATCACAGTAGCATAAGCTCTAAACCACTGTGTTCCAATGGTTGCATAGAATCTCCAAATAAGGAGGTTAAGGGGCAAGAAAGTTTCAGATAAGTAGTAAGATAAAGCAAGGACAAAAGGAAGCAAAGATCTGAATAGTCATTTTTCCAAAAATAAACCAATTAAGAGAGCCAATAAGCACATGAAAAGATGCTCAACACCATTAGTCATCAGGGAAATGCAAATCAAAATCACATAATGAGATAGGGAGTCCTTCCTAGCCACTATGATGGCTGTAACCAAAAAGGCAGACAGTAATAAGTGTTGGCAAAGGGGAAAAACTGCAACCCTTGTGCGTTGCTGGTGGGATTATAAAACGATGTAGCTACTTTGGAATACAATTCGACAGTTCCTGAAAGGGTTAAACACAGAACTGCCATATAGCCCATCAATTCCACTCTAAGCATATACTCGAAAGAATTGAAAACCTATGCTCACACAAAAAACCTGTACACAAATGTTCATAGTGGTACTTTTCATAATAGCTCAAAATGGAAACAACCTACATGTCCATCGACTACTGAATGGATGAACAAAATGTAGTATATCCATACAATGGAATATTATTTGGCAATACAAAAGAATGAGTTAATGATACATGCTATAACGTGGATGAAGCTTTAAAACAGTATGCTGAAGTGCAAGAGGTCAAAGAAGGCCAAATATTGTATGATTCTATTTACAGGACATGTACAGAACAGGTAAATCTACAGAGATGAGACAGTAAGTAGATTAATGGTTACCAAGGGCTGAGCAGAGGGAGAAATACAGAGTTACTGCTAATGCATACATCATTTCTTTTTGGAGCAACCACAGTGAAATCTGATAGTGAAAATGGTTGCACAACCTTGAGAATATACTAAAAACTTTTGAATTGTACATTTTAAAAGGGTGAATTATATCTCAATAAAAATGTTATTAAAAAAAAAAAGAAAAACACAACAAGGGAAGGTGAAGAATAACCCTTCTTGGCTTCTTTTAGCCTACCCAGTTAGGTGGAATATTGGCAACTGTTAAGGCCTCACGATGCAATAAAAATGAGGGAAGCTAAGCAGTTCAAGAGGGGGCACAAACCCATTCTGGCTTCAAGTCCCATACCTCCAATGACAGGTTACCTTTAGAACTGAACAGGACAATATTTGCTCACCACTGCGTGGACGGCTTTTTCTGAGCCTGTAACAGTCAAGGCAGACCCCAAATCCACATTTGCGACAAACCCAGTGGATGTTGAAGAGAGTTGTTTCACATACGTCACACATCTCCCGTACACCACGCACTGCTCGCTTCCATGCCACTTTCTCTGGTGGAAAAGAGGAAGAGGAATATTGTTGACACTGATCATCGTAACAGCAAAAGACCCCAGATCCACTGACTGCTACGTGCACTGTTTTGTCCAGCAATAAAACTCAAAGATGTAAGAAGTTAGTGTTTCTATAAATGTTAAGAGAAAGAAAATGGATGGAATTGCTAATATTTCTGAACAAGTGTCAATGAAAATAAATGCCCCATGTTGTTACTTAAGATACTGTAAAAATTTCGATTTGGGGGAGTTTGAAGTAAGAGGATTCTTCACCTGAAACGTAGGGAGTAATTTCATAGTAGAATTTTCCTTGGGTACTTTATCCCACAGACATGAAATATCATAAATGTCTGAATAATGGTGGGTTCTAGGTGTGAAACACGGTACCCAGTGGCACTTCATCTATTCACAAACCATATAATATCACTAATACAAATTGGTTCAAAGGAAACTGAAAATATTCAGAGTGACCCAAACCCAGACAGGGATCAAGGAAGGAATAAAGTCTGCTGGATACAGTTAGGGCCTCAGCTACTTAGTTTGCTATAAAGGGGAGAAAAGTCTTATCAGTCTTAATTCATCCAGAGAAAATGCCATCTGTCACTCTGCTACTCTGCCACCCAAAACATTTCCACCCTATTTGACACAACACATTCCTCCTTTAAGCAACAGAAAATGAAAGTTCTCAAGCAGGAGTGCCTGGAAAACAAGCAAGAGGGTGTCTTACGGTGTGGCTCCACCATCATCATGGCCTCCTTCTCGGACATCACGAGCTGGCAGAACTGGTCCCCAACGTTGGCCAGGATGTATTTTGAGGTTTCTAGGTCTATCCCTTCTGCTAGGGAGGAAGAGGGAATCCACAGGTTCATGGCATCAGGGTCACTTTGCTGGGGACTCAGAAACCCCTCTACACGGAGTACCCCCTTCCGAGTGAAGATCAACCTGAGATGGGAAGGTAGATAGTCAAATACATGGTAAAAGGCAGCAGCCATGCAAACTAATACACATCGAAAACCCTAGGAGCTAGAAACATTAAAGGGACTTAAAAGTAATCAGTGTGCATTAAGAATTTTCACCCTGGGGCGCCTGGGTGGCTCAGTTGGTTAAGCGACTGCCTTCGGCTCAGGTCATGATCCTGGAGTCCCGGGATCGAGTCCCGCATCGGGCTCCCTGCTCGGCAGGGAGTCTGCTTCTCCCTCTGACCCTCCTCCCTCTCATGCTCTCTGTCTCTCATTCTCTCTCTCTCAAATAAATAAATAAAATCTTTAAAAAAAAAAAAAAAAAAAAAAAGAATTTTCACCCTGGAGGGCACCTGGCTGGCTCAGTTGGAAGGGCATCCAACTCTTGATCTTGGGGTTATAAGTCCAATCCCCAAACTGGGTGTAGACATACTTAAAAACAAAAAAACCCCAAAACATTTCCACCCTATTTGACCAACACAGTATGTATTCTCTGCACTAGCAGAAAGACTTGTGAACAGTTAGTATGTCTGCGTTCTTTAAAAAGCTGTCCTCAGGGGATGCCTGGGTGGCTCAGTCAGTTAAGTGTCTGCCTTCAGCTCAAGTCATGATCCCAGGGTTCTGGGATTAAGCCCCACATCAGGCTCCTTGCTCAGTGGGGAGCCTGCTTCTCCCTCTGCCTGCTGCTCCCCCTGCTTGCGCTCTGACAAATAAATAAATAAAATCTATTAAAAAAAAAAAAGCTGTCCTCAGAAATGCCTTTCAGTTTGTCCATCCTCCTGTTCCATCTGTGCACCCACACCACTGAACGTGACCAGAGGAAACCAGCCACGCTCAGTGTCATACTTGAAATTCGTATCTACCTATCGTCAGGTAAGCCCTTCATGTTGCCTCCCAGTCACAAGTTTCCTGGTGTACAGTCACGCTCCTAGATGCCTGTTTCAGATCCTCACTTCTTTTCTAACCTCTAGTATAATTCTCCCCATGAGGACCTTGCTATGTATTCCACTGAGAAAATACAAAGAGCCAGAACAGATGCCCCACAAGTTCCCTCCACCATACTACCAGGCCTTCCTGCAACTGGGCCCATGTTCCATCTGACCTGCTACTGCTAGGAATGAACTAGTTCCCAGCCAAGACCTCTCTCTCCACCTATGCTCTACATCCTATCCTCTTGCACAGGCATCACACCACATATTCTCTTTTCTACATCATCTGTTTTCCTCCCTACTGAATCATTCTTGTAAACTTGCTAGCTCAAAAATCCTCTAAAACATTTCTATCTCAAAAATCCTCTCAATCCCACACCCTCCTGCATTTATTTGTTTTTTTTTTTTTAAGATTTATTTATTTATTTTTATTTGAGAGAGAGAGAATGAGAGAGAGCAAGTACATGAGAAGGGGGAGGTCAGAGGGAGAAGCAGACTCCCCGCCGAGCAGGGAGCCCAATGCGGGACTCGATCCCGGGACTCCAGGATCATGACCTGAGCCGAAGGCAGTCGCCCAACCAACTGAGCCACCCAGGCGCCCCTATTTATTTGTTTTTAAGAGCAGCATTTCTTGAGAGTTGTCTATACTGACTGTCACCACTTCCTCTTCCCTTTAATTTTGTCTTCATCCAATCCTACCAGGCTTTTCCTCACCAACACACCAAAACTGTTTTTGACAAGGTTGTTCCCCCCATTAAACCCAATGGTCACTTTCAGTCCTCATCTGACCTGACCCAATTCCCAGTATTTGCCACAGTTCATTATTCCTTCCTGGAAATAATTTCTTCACTTGCCTTCCAGGACACCTTACTGGCTTTTTCTTCTCAACCTCCTTTACTAGCCCCTCCTCACCTTTCCAGTCTCTCAATGTTGGAGAACACCAGGATTGATTGGTCCTAGGAATGCTCTCTTCTCTATCTACACCTGGACTCCTTCCATGATCTCAAGTAGACACACAGCTTTATTTTTTTTTTTAAGATTTTATTTATTTATTTGACACAGAGAGAGAGAACACAAGCAGGAGGAGTGGGAGAGGGAGAAGCAGGCTCCCCACCAAGCAGGGAGCCGGACATGGGGCTCAATCCCAGGACCCTGGGATCATGACCTGAGCTGAAGATAGACGCTTAACCGAATGAGCCACCTAGGCGCCCCGACACACAGCTTTAAATACCTGGTGATATTCAAATTTTTAACCTCCTGCCTGGACTTCCCCCCTCAACTCCAGAGCCGAGTTTCCAGCTGCCCTTTCAACATCTCCATCTAGAAATCTAATAGGCATCTCAAATTTAACAAGCCCAAATTAAAAGTTCCCATTTTTGTCCCCAAACCTGCTTCTCCCTGAGAAATCTTATCGGTAATAGGTCAAAAGCTGTAGAATCATCTTTGACTCCATTCCTTCTTTCATACTCCTCATTTAACCCACCAGAAAATCATATGAGTACTCCCTTCAAAATATATCTTTTTTTTTTTAAAAGATTTTTACTTATTTGACAAAGAGAGAGAGAGAGGGAGAGAGCAAGCACAAGCAGGGGGAGTGGCAGGCAGAGGGAGAGGGAGAATCAGGCTCCCCGATAAGCAGGGAGCCAAACGTGAGGCTTGATCTCAGGATCCTGGGATCATAACCTGAGCCGAAGGCAGACACTTAACAGACTGAGCCACCCAGGGAACACTCAAAATATATCCTTAATCCAACCAGACTCATCACTTCCATCACTAGGCCACCATCATTTCTCACCTGGGTAATTCCAACAGCCTCCTTATTTCTGTGTTTCTACCTTTGCCTCAATATAATCTATTCTCAAGAAGGCAATTACAGCGATCCTTTAAAACATTCCTCAGTGTCCCTCATCAGCTCAAAACCTTCAATGACTTCTCTTTCAGCACAAAAGCCAAGGCCCTTAGAGTATTCCTTTAAAATATAGACCCATTGTTAACTCTGTGACCTCAACTCCCCGCCCCCACTCTCTCTTTTAGCTACCCTAGCTCCACAAACACATCAGGAATATTCCAGCCTCGGACAGTTGCTCTTTGTGCCCTCTACCTGGAATGCTTGTCTCCCAGAAAAATGTGTGGACCACTCCTTCACCTCCTTCAGGTCTTTACTCAAATCTCACTTTCTAAAATCATCCTATTTATTTATTTTTTAAGATTTTATTTATTTATTTGACAGAGAGAGACACAGAGAGAGAGGGAACACAAGCAGGGGGAGTGGGAGAGGGAGAAGCAGGCTTCCCGCTGAGCAGGGAGCCCGATGTGGGGCTTGATCCCAGGACCCTGGGATCATGACCTGAGCCGAAGGCAGACGCTTAACGACTGAGCCACCCAGGCGCCGCTAAAATCATCCTATTTAAACTGTAGCCTCTCTTAACCTCCCCTTACTTCAATCCTCTTTTCTGTCTTTATTTTGCTCATAGTTATTATCAGCTAACATGCCATGTATTTAATCTTTTTTCCTTATTTATAGTCTGACTCCTCAGCAAACCTCTAAGGGCTGATCTTTATGGTTTTATACTGTTTAACCCTCAGTGCCCACAACAGTGGCTGGCACACAGTAAGTGCTCAGTAAATATTTGCTGAATGAGTGATCCACACTACATGGATAAACCATTTGGATTTATTTTAAAAATGAAGAATTCCTGAAAGATCATTTAGAAGAAATTCTAAGTTTATCAAGCAGAAGGAAAGTGACTAAGGTAAAAGCAGGGGACCTTCCCCGGATTTGTCAGTTATCTCTATTTCAAAGACACTTGCCATTATCTCCTAATCTTCCTTCCCCTTCTCTCAGAGACTCAAGTTACTTTAGCACCGAAAAGTGGTCAGGCAGATCCATACTACAACATGGCATCCTTCTGCTTATATGACTGGTTTCAAATGGAACCCAAGTTAGGAATAACTCAACGAAGCTCAGGGGCCAGCAGCTGACACTGTTCACCTTCAATTCCCTAGGGACAAAGCCACAAGTCACTTCACAATCCAAACACCTGAGTGGCCCCTATGGCAGAGCCTCAGCAAAGACTCAGAGCAAAGGGGTTAAGGAAAACAAGGAGAAGGTGTGAGGTTCAGAGAAAGAGTGAGAAATGGAAACTGGGAAGGAGACGGAGACGGGTGTGGGTACCTCCGGAAGTGAAAGAAGCGGCAGGCCACAGTAGAATCATCTTGCTCCTGTTCTTTAAACTTCCGATACCGCTCCAGGCGGCACTCCCGACACTTGTGCAGATGAGGGGCTACGTTGATGCAGGACCCATCCTGCAGGAAGGGCTCTCCAGATTGCTTCAGCTTCTTCACCTTGCTCACATCTTTCAGCACTGACTGGCCAACTGTGGCAAGGGAAGGGGGAGAAACGGTTGGTCATGACTGGTATTAATGAGACCCTATAACATGACCCACCTGGGGATGCATTCTTGTCCTGACCTGGCTCATTCCTCCTTGCCATGGCTGGGCTTGTGCCTATCAGGTCCATCCTTGACAGAAAGGGAGGGAGCAAAGAGGCTTCAACTGGAAGCTAAGGACCATGGAGAGAATTTGTGGGAAGTGTCCCATTATGAGCAAACAACTCTGGCATGGGTGAGGAAAATCCAAGAAGGCAGAAGGTAGCCACTTGCCTCAGGCCTCCGGGGATATAACTGTTCTACTAATCAACAACTCCTGTGCCCCCATGGGATACCAGTTACTAAAGACAACAGTTACTTTTACCATTCACCTTTCTCTTAGATACTTGCCCTTACACAATTCTGGACCATAACCTCACAGCATGGGAGTTAATGGCTTTTGGAAGAGGTGTTAAAACTTTATATATGTAACAGAGAGAAGCAAATTTGAGGGGTGATTCTTTTTGCTTAAGTAAGTCTATGAAAGGCTGCTATGTGAGAACAGAGTCCAGTACTCAGTAACTCCTCTAAAGTAAATTAAAGAGGATGGGCCAAAGAGAAGTAGAAAGGGATGAGAAAAACACCAGGAAGAGCTCCTGTGCAAAAGGAGTATCAAGGGTTCTTGTCTGTGGAATTATTACACAGGTAGATATCCCTCTTTAGTAACGCTGCTGGGTTAGAGGCAATCCTGCCCTGAACCAAAAGGTCTGATGAGGGGCCTCTACTGGGCCCTTCTGGGCATGTTATTCTACATGATTATAGAACTTTCCATCAAAGAAAGGGCTTCTGCTGCCCAACAGCACAACAGGCAGGCATTCAAGGCTAGTGCCCGAGCCAAGCCAATGGATAACCCCAGCAAGATCACCTTTCAGGGGGGCGGTCCGCGGCCGGCCCTTTGGGGCCTGCTTCCCTTTGCCTTTGCCCAGCAATAGCTCAGCACTTCGCTCCCCATTGGGGCCCAACTTCCCCATTAGGTGCTCTGGAATCCCCTTCAGGCCAGTCTTGGCCTGCAGCTGCTCCTCAGAATCGCTCAAATCTGACAGGTCACTGTTGGTACTGGAGTCCGAGTCCTGTCTGCAAGCCAAGCTTCGCTCATCCAGTGAGAACCTTTTCACAGCTTCAAAAGGAGCTTTGTTCTCCTGTGAAAAATCTGCTGGGGAGGACAGAAAGCTGCCTGAGTGCCTGCCAAAGACGTTACTAAAGGTTTTGAGGAGGGGATTGTCCTGCTGCCCAGGCCCCACAGTTGGCCTCTCCTCTGTGGGGCTGGAGGAGAGAGTAGGCATCTCAATGGGCTGGGTGAGGCTGCTGGTGGGCGAGCTGGAGCGGCCATTCCCCATGGCAGAGAGGCTCGGACCTCCGGTGGTAAGAGCTGAGCCCAGAACACCAGACACCAGTTTAGAGGAGTCAGTTGTGATGAAGAGGGTTTTCTTCTTTGCTAAAGATGCCGAATCTGTAGAGGAGTGAGCCTCGGGCCAGCTGGGTGCGGCCTTCGAGGTGACAGTGGTAGCAGAGGAAGAGCTACCTGATGCCTGAGATGCAAAGCTGCTGAAAGGGCTATGTTCAACTTTCTCCACAAATGCAAGGAAAGGGTTAGAGGGCTCTTCTCGGGACAGTTTAGGGGGCTGTAAAAATAGATTTTCATGACTCTCCGGGGTGCGGGCATTTAGGAGGCTCCGTGGGAAGGCTGGTGTGAGGGTGGGCATGGACTCTGTTGGCACCTTCCGATCCACAGAGCTGCCAGCCTTAGAGCCTGATTTAGTGTCTGCTCCGAGAGTGGATCTGCCTTTACACAGGCTCTCAAGGCTTTGTTTGAATGAGTCTCGACTGGAGGAATCATCAGCCAAACTCTCTGAAACGGTAGTGAAGTAGTTACTGGTGGGTAAAGTTTGGGACATGCATTGAAAAAACAAGTTTTTGGAGAGATCAGAGTCTTTCTGAGACTCTGGTGCAGAGCTACAGCCAAAAGAGAAGCCCAAAGGTTTGTTCTCTGTGGCTAGAACCCCATTGGACTGGCTCCTTCCACTTCCAAAAGTCAAAGGTTGTGATGAACTTGGGAGAGATGCTCCAAATCCAGAAGAGGCCAGAACAGTATTTCTTGAATTCTGAAAAGAAGATAGCCCGAGTTAATGATGCTGCTTTCTCTTGACAACCTCTTTTCTGGACTTAGGCCAATGCTTCTTGTGGGTCAAATCAACTTTTCTCTCCTACAATTCCATGAAAACTGCCCTTACAGGGTCGCCTGGGTGGCTCCGTCGTTAAGCATCTGCCTTTGGCTTAGGTCATAATCCCAGGTCCTGGGATCAGCCCCACATCAGGCTCCCTGCTCAGTGGGGAGCCTGCTTCTCCCTCTCCCTCTGCCCCTGCTTGTGTTCCTGCTCTCTCTCTCTCTGTGTGAAAATAAATAAATAAAATCTTAAAAAAAAAAAAGAAAAAACCTGCTCTTCTAAGTACAGCTCACATTAAGGAAGCATTAGGCATTAAGGAAGAAACCTGCCACAGACCACACAGAGGGCATCTTTAACACGGTGAGCTAGAGATAGCAGGATGTCATTCATCCTGCCACTCCCTTGGTTGTTGGCCAACTGGCTATCATAGCACTAGGAGGTTGTGTAGGCTTCTTAGTTTCTATTTGGAAAAGAAGACTCTACCAGGAATTGGAGAAAAGGGTTCCTGAACAGACAGACAGCAGCTTTTACTGTGAAATGAATTTAGTGGCCCTGTAATATTAATCTACTTCAATGACCTCAGCTATTTTCAAAGTTTTGATTTAAAAGTTTTGATTTATTTGGGCGCCTGGGTGGCTCAGTTGGTTAAGCGACTGCCTTCGGCTCAGGTCATGATCCTGGAGTCCCTGGATCGAGTCCCGCATCGGGCTCCCTGCTCGGCAGGGAGTCTGCTTCTCCCTCTGGCCCTCCCCCCTCTCATGTGCTCTCTCTCTCATTCTCTCTCTCTCAAATAAATAAAATCTTTAAAAAAAAAAAACAAAAAAACAAAACAAAAAAAACACTTTAAAAGTTTTGATTTATTTAGGGCGCCTGGGTGGCTCAGTCGTTAAGCGTCTGCCTTCGGCTCAGGTCATGATCCCAGGGTCCTGGGATCGAGTCCCACATCGGGCTCCCTGCTCCGCGGGAAGCCTGCTTCTCCCTCTCCCACTCCCCCTGCTTGTGTTCCTGCTCTCACTATGTCTCTCTCTGTCAAATAAATAAATAAAATCTTAAAAAAAAAAAAAAAAGTTTTGATTTATTTAAACTAACTGCCCATCTTAGAAAAGTGACTTCAGTCCCATGACAAGCCCACTGTACATTAAGGAAAAATATTCTCTGTATTAGTCTGAAACTCCCCCAGATGGATGATTTTAGAATTTGGCCATTTATTTATGAGCCCAAGTCAACCTAAAAGTTGAACATCTGTTCCAATTAAAGTTAGCCCTGGGGTGCCTGGGTGGCTCAGTTGTTAAGCATCTGCCTTCAGCTCAGGTCATGATCCCAGGGTCCTGGGATCAAGCCCCGCATCGGGCTCCCTATTCCGCAGAAAGCCTGCTTCTCCCTCCCCCACTCCCCCTGCTTGTGTTACCTCTGTCGCTGTGTCTCTCTCTGTCAAATAAATAAATAAAATCTTTAAAAAAAATAAATAAATAAAATAAAGTTAGCCCTAAAGACGTTAAATTATAGAAAGCATACTCATGGGGCGCCTGGGTGGCGCAGTCAGTTAGGTGTCCAAATCTTGATCTTGGCTCAGATTTTATTTATTTATTTGACAGAGAGAGACAGCGAGAGAGGGAACACAAGCAGGGAGAGTGGGAAACGGAGAAGCAGGCTTCCTGCCGAGCAGGGAGCCCGATGTGGGGCTCGATCCCAGGATCCTGGGATCATGACCTGAGCCTAAGGCAAACACCGCGACTGAGCCACCCAAGTGCCGCTTGGCTCAGGGCTTGATCTCAGGGTCATGAGTTCAAGCCCTGCACTGGGCTCCACGCTGGGCATGGAGCCTACATTAAAAAAAAAAAAAAAAAGGGGGGGGGGAAGAAAGCACATTCATCACTGAACCCTTTTGTTATCATTAGGATCTAACAAGCCTCCAAAGAGGAAAAGTGTAGATACTCATACACCCACCAAACTTAAGTATTCAGTCTAACAAATTGGACAGTGAAAAAACACTTTCTGGGGCTCCAGGGTGGCTCAATCATCAAGCATCTGCCTTCGGCTCAGGTCATGGTCCCAGAGTTCTGGGATCGAGCCCCACATCGGGCTACCTGCTCGGCGGGAAGCCTGCTTCCCCCACCCCCCACCACTCCCCCTGCTTGTGTCCCCTCTCTCGCTGTGTCTCTCTCTGTCAAATAAATGAATAAAATCTTAAAAAACAAAAAACTTTCATTTTTTTCACCTTGAAAATGTTAACTTCTGCATGTGAATAAAAGGTGTGTGTGTAAAGAGGGGCAGAATCCCTTTCATATATATTACACATCCGTATATATGCGAAGAGAAACCTCCATAGGCAGGTCTGAACACTTAAAATCAACTTTCAGGTAGTAGAGTATGCTATTTCTAAACATTCATTTTTAAAACATTGGTAACAAAAATTATTCCAGGACTGCTTAATGGGTATCAAGGGCTTGCTTCTGGGGTGATGAAAATTTTTGTAACTAGGAAGTGCTGATGGTTGCACAACACTGTATTTACCACAGTATTATATAACACTTTAAATAGTTAAAATAGTAAATTGAATGGTTACTTTCCACAATTAAAAAAATTAGTCCAGATAAAGGAAATGGCTATTGTCCAAAGGGGGGGGGTTGTTTACTTAAGGTATTCTTTATATATGCAAGAGGAGCCTACATTAGGACTTCCTTGGGGTGGCACAGAGGCACGAGAACCAGGCAGGCCACCTATGGCTTGCCTCCAGGTGACATCTGCTACAGAGGTTGCTTCATGGCATTTTAGAGTTAAAAACCTGAAGTTCACTTGTTTGTTGTTTATTTAAAGGTAAACTCGACACCTAACGTGGGGCTCAGAGATCAAGACTCACTTGCTCTACTGACTGAGCCAGCCAGGCCCCCCATTATTCTTTTTCTTTTCCTTCCCACTAATCAACAACTACTGACTTATACCCCGTCCCAACAAAAAAGAAGAGAATAGAAAGACACAGCCCTAAGGGTTGGCTGTTGTTTCTCTCTCTCTCTTTTTTTTTTTTTTTTTACTTTATTTATGTACTTCAGAGAGAGAAAGTGAGAAAGACAGAGAGAGAGCACAAGTGGGGGAAGGGGCAGAGGGAGAGGGAGAAGCAGACTCCAGGCTGAGCATGGAGCCGGACATGGGCCCTGATCCCAGGACCCCAGAATCATGACCTGTGCCAAAGGCAGACGCTTAACCAACTGAGCCACCCAGGCGCCCCTGGCTGTTGTTTCATTAGCAGACTTTGGCCAGGAGCCTTGACACCTGCAGGACTCCCAACAATCCAGCATGGGTAGCTCAGGTTTCACTACTAAAGTTACCCTTTAAAAATAAATATACACATGAATGAAAAATAATTTGGATGGCCTTTCATTTTCCTTCAAATGATTAAATTTTAAATCCTTTTTTATAAGAAACTGATGACAAACTGGTTTCAACTTAATTTTTAGGGCAAGACGTTTCCTGGGGGCTGTGTCCCTATTTTAAGATTTGACATCATAGTGGCAACATCCATTTCTGTGCTTTTAAATCAGATCCCAGGACAATACTTAGGCTGACACATTACCAAAATCACTGATACAGTCACAGAAACTTCTCCAACCTGTTTCGAAAATGCCCTCTGAATCCACATTTCCTCTATTCAGCTTTGCTACCCCAAGAATAACAGCATTCAGTGTGTCTCCTCCTGCAGCATATAAAATGTGGTGTACTTTGTAATCCCCCTTTACATCTACACTGCCTTTGACATGAACTGGATTTTAGTTAATTTGAGCAATATGATGACTTATACAGAGTGGAAATCCACATAAGATCTTCACCTAATTATCTTGGGAATGCTGGTCAACTAACAGAGGACAAACCATGAACAGTGCGAAATTTGCACTTATAGGCCTTTTCCTCTTCTGCCTGGACCTTTCACCTCCTTCCCCACTAAGGATTCACAAACTGCATCTCCTAGGAGGGGAAGAACTCAGATGAAATGTATATGCCATGTTTTACCTGGCACTGTTATACCTAAAATGATTCCATCTTAAGCACTGAGCTCCTTCAAATAGGGATTTCAATTCTTTGTTTATAATATACAGTACTTAGCACACAGTAGTTTCCTATATATAATTAAAAAAATCATTTATATTTTTTCTTTGTATTTCATAGTCCAACTTGAGGAAACAGCCAGTCTGAAGAAAAAAGTGACTAGCATCATAAATCATTCTTTGGTGACCAAAATAAGAGTCAAAAGACTGTAAGAAATGATTTTGATATTGCTTCAAATTCGACTGGGGAGCCAACTTGGTGTTAACTCATATTTAACAGAAGTTCCATTTCAGCAATGAACATGTGTATCGGATAAAGAACATAGTTAAGTTGGATACTACTGTGATTAATTACATCAAACTTTCCAGTTAAGGCTTAAAAAGAGTAAGTTAGAAAAAAAAAAAAACTTTTATAGCCATATCAAATCATGGAAAGAAGCCTAGCCTCAAAGGAAAATATCATAGAAGATGATGAACTAAAAACAGGGGATGGTAATAGTCGCTTTCACATAGCCTTAATTATAGCGTTCACTGTTACAACACTGTAATTCATTAACCTTGCCTCTCATAGGCCTGGTAGAGGCTCAACCACTACGTGAACTAAACAGATAATTGAATTAAAAAGATTCCCCATCAGATCTCTTTGAGTATCTCATTAAATTGGGTTTTATAATCAGTTTTTGATTAGTGCAATTGTTCAGGTGACTTTTAAGAGCTAATAAAGTTATCAAAATATACACATTTGCCCAACGAGCAGTAAAGGACTATTCAGAGTATAATTTAAGCACATCTCAGAAATACTCCTTCCCTGTGGCATTTTAGATGCTGTTTAATGTGCTAACATTAGAGTAGGGTAAAAGAATGAGCCCAAATCTTGCAAATCTGCCCCTGAAACAACTCACCTCTCCTGGGGCCTGTAACCGGCTGCCTTTCTGTTTGTCCGGCCCAGTCCCTGCTGCAAGGCCAGTGTCTGAGATCCTCACCGTGGTTGGGGTGGAGCTGGCGGCACTGACCACAGCTGCTGAAGCCACCAGGCCCTGGCCAACTTGTTCCAGTGTTTTTCCTGCCTCTTTGTTTTCGGCTCCACCCACCTCTGGGGCCAAAGGTGTTTGACCTGTGGCTGTAGAATATGGAGTGAAAGGTACAGGTGTGTCCCCACCTACAGGCTCATCCTGCACCACCAGAGTCCTGCCGTTTTCTTTGGTGTAAGTGGCAAAGCGAATGTTGCGGTTAATCTGGGGGACAAATGTAGTCGGTGGCTGCTTGGCTCTCTGATCCAGCCCTGGCTCTCCACTGGCATTCCCTCCTTTCCAGGGCCCTCGGCTCGCCTCACCTCCATCGCTCCCATTACTGTCTACTTCACCCCTGTCTCCTTTTAATTTCTTTGATGCAGGGTCACACCCAGAGTCCGAAGCACTTTTCCTCCTCCGGCCATCTTTCCCCTCTATGCTCTCTCTCTTCTTCTTTCCTTTGGAAGATTTTACTGCTTTTAACGTACCCCCCTACAAAACAAAATTCAAAAAAGATTTATTATAAGGAACCTTCCATCCTGTGAAAACCATAAACCGTTAGCTCTTTCCCATCTCTAGAAGCAGATAATCAAAGCAGGCAGATTGCTACATTCCAACGCCAGCTCTAAGACATCCCCTTAGTCAGAAAGCTCCAATCTTCCTGTGACTCAATTTACACATGTATTCAAGATAATGGTTACGAGAGATTAACTCACTTGGCAAACCTTCCCTTAAATAAAACGCTTCCTCAAATGGACTTTTTTGAGGGTTTGAAAAATCTGTGGAATTTCATTCACAAAAGAAGACTGCTAGTGCTAGAATGGGAGCTCATTTGCCCCTCAATGAAAAAAAAATCTGCTTTATTTCATAATTTTCTCTTTATTTGACTGAAACTGGCATTTCAAGTATTGAAATATAAAATCTCCTCTATCCAGAAGTCACTAAAAAACTGGTGACAACTTAACAATAGGAAGACTAACATTTGTGAGTCTGTGACCAAAGGGAAAGTGAGTCCAACACAGGCAGGTTTGGATTGCTCTTGTGGACACTTTTATAAATAGACAAACAATCTCCAGAACTTATTTCAAAGTATTAGACAAAGGAAAGCAAAAAAGGCAGGCTACCATAGACCAAACAGCCAACTCCCTTAGCTCTTCCAATAATTTCAGCCTATCTCATGAAATCTGACTTGTGCCTTAATTGAGAGGCCAAGCAACCTTAAAAGATTAGAAGACACAATTCCTATCTCTAAATAAACTCCTCCTTGTGGGGAAGGGGGCTTGGAACTCAGCTACCATTCTCTCAAGCAATCTTTGTGCTGCAAGAACTTTTATCTAGAACATTATTAGAATGGTATCCCACTATGAAGCAATGTCTTTTATTTTTTTTAAGCTTTATTCAGATACCCTTCAGATAGTTTTACTCAGATAACATGTGTCGGGGTGGCAATAAGCTAGTGACACACAGTTATGCAGCCATTAATATTTACCAATTTCATTAAACTAATCTTACTGCCCTTGAATATTTATAGCTTCTTTGTATAGATCTGTATTTTGTTGTAACATTATAGCTATTGTAACTGCAACTTTTTCAAATTTTATATTTCTTCTTGCCAGTTCTAGTTTCTCTATTCTCTTTTTTTTTTTTTTTTTGCTGCCTTCATTTCCATCTTTCTCCCCTTAATTTTCTTCTATAGCTCTTAACAAAGTTCAAGATTTACTTCTGTTTCCTCCATACTTTTGGTAATCTGCTTCTGAAAACCACAGATCTCACCTCTTATGCATCCAGCCAAGTTGCTGATCTTGGCTCATTGCAACCTCCCTGAGCAATAACTTAAATGTATGTCCTACTTCCAGTGAGCTACTCACATGTGAGTAGACAGCATAAGACATGGAGACCAGTACTCTCCAGTTATATCTGACCAGTGGAATAGTGCGTGGCATTTAAGAGGTACTTAATGAATGAATGAAGTAAGGAAGGGAATAAAAAGGGGCCCAACACACCATCAAAGTAAAAGGTATTTTCAGTCATGCAAATAGTCAAGAGACTTATCTTACTTGTGGCAATATAATATATAGTAAAGAGCTATTAAATTTAACCCTGATTCTTCTTTTCCTAACTTGATTTTGTTTTATCAATGCAAGAATGACTGGATAAAGATGAGAAGAACCATATCCTTAGCAGAAGTAGCCAAGACAGCAATATTACAGAGATGCTAAGAGACTATGAAGAACATGTGGCTAGATGGCTGTCTTGTCAATGTCTTAGTGAAAAAAAATTCACATGGCATTCCTTGATTGGTTCAGGCACTGGTTTACTATGTATCCTTTTTTGGGTTATGATAATTCTGAATGAACCAAGAGCTGGCCTGATTCACAGTAATTATGGAGTAATCCACTGTGTGCTGAGCACTGAACTAGGTACCTGTTTATTTCTTCTTGGAATACAAAATTTCAGACTTCTTGGAGCTCACTACCACTTAATGGAAAGAAAAAGGATGCAGCTTCTCCATTTCTTATTACTAGGTAGGTTATAAATATTACTACTGCTTATTACAGCTTTAACTGTCTACTGTATCTTTCAAATATACCAAATATACCTGTCCTGAAAGGATGTAAGAAGAAATAGTGAGGCCACAGAGTTCTAAAATGGTTGGGTAACAAAGCCATGATTAAAAGGGTTTGTTCCAACTATACTTCCTTCTTGAGACTATATTCCCTTAACTAGACAAGACTTGGAGAGAGCAAGAAATGTACAGCGGCCAGAGTGGAAACCTGAAGGGCATCCATGGATAACACAAGCATGAGGAATCTGCTTAACAAGATAAAGAAAGATCATGAGTCTGCTCAGAGACTCAGTTGACTACTGTACCTCGCTCTGAGTAGTTGAATTATCCATCAGCATCACATGGATCAGTCTGGGATCTACGGACTTGATCTCACCACTCTAGAGTAGAAGAAGGATAGCAGAAAATATGAAAAAGGGGAGAAAAAAGACTTAAGCCTTGTCCAAAGACATAATTATGTATTCTTCTAATCCATGTAATTATCTCTTTGTTCCTACTCCCCTAATGGAATGAAAGCTCCACAAAAGCAGGGTTCTCTACTATCTCATTCACTGCCAGAATAACAACATCCAAAAAAGGTCAGGAATACTATAAGCACTCAAATATTTGTTAAATTGATGAATGAAAGAATTGAGTTCAATGCCCAAGTGTCTCTTTTAGAGACATTAATTTCAAATTCTGCATCTCTAAAATCTTCCTATTTTGTACATATCAGAAAGTAAAAACCTACAGAACCAAAAAATCATTAAAAGAACCACTCTATCAATAAACAATAAAAACACTGGGGAGCAGCTGATTTGACACCCTGTCATTTAATGTGCATATCCTTTGATCTAGCAATTATATACCTAGAAATTTATTCCAATATGTGAAGTAGTGTATAATAATCTATGTTCAAGGATATTCACTGCAGCATTATTTGTATTACTGAAAATACTGGCAATGACTCAAATGTCCATCAATTTTAGATTAAATTAATTATAATATACCCATTCAGTGGAACAGCATGCATCTATTTTAAAAGGATGAGGCAAATTTCTATGTATATCTACACAGAAAGATGTTGATAATCTACAGCTAAGTAAAAAAGGTAAATTACAGGGCGCCTGGGTGGCTCAGTTGGTTCAGCGACTGCCTTCGGC